CAGCCATAGCCGAGGTGAGGAGTTGACCGGGCGTTGACCAGACCGTTGACCAGAGGGTTGACCAAGGGTTGACCAGAGGGTTGATCGGGCGTTGACCAAGGTGGTTGACCAAGCGTTGATTGGGGGTTGTCAGCGTTGACTCAGCGTTGACCAAGGCGTTGACTGGAGCTGCTGACCAAGATTTTGACCAAGCTGGAGTTGGTGATATCTCGCTGAGCCCTTAGCCTATCCCCTTACCCTGTGGATGTGCACTCACCCTACGGTACTTGCTGAGTTTGAGTCTGCCTGTCTTTCCTTTGTGCATTGAGTCTCTTCTATCCTAGGTGTTAGGACTCTGTGGATGAAGGATAGGGCCTTGCTGCCAAACCTGCACGGGCTTAGTAGGACCAAAGCTCTACGCTGGCACTTGGAGACCTGGGCATGAGCGGCGAGCGCTCGTTAAACAACTCGTCTAGCGCAATGTCCGGTACTGTCCGGCAGGTCTACTGAGTTCAGTGTAGAGGGTCTGAACTCCGAGCTGTAGGCTGAAACGAAGGTCGTCTTTAAGTGTTGAGGCCTGGTTGAGCCACTCCCCTATCGGACCTACTACAGCTGATGATATGTGTCTGACGACTCGACTGTCCCGAGGGATACAAACCCCTCTAAGGACCGGTACAGACCGGCGGGCTGCTCGGTGTGGCACAGTAGGCTGGAACGGCTGAGTTGTGGGCTGAAATCGCCAGGAAGAACCAAGCTGATCACGTCGTCCTGTTTGCGACGTTAAAGAATTCTTGCGGAGTTTGGGGGATCTCCTTAAATGCCTCCTGATCAGCTGTTGGTTCTGTAGTGACAGCCTTAGAGTAGTTGAGTAGTGGTTTTTAGAAGGTCATTCAGTAGGTCAGTGTCCGGGTAGGTCCAAGTGGTGAGGAGTGGGACCTTTGCCGTGCACCTGACGCCACCATGGTAGACACCCGGCGCGGCACCTCCACTATGCCGTACACAAAGGAGGAGGAGGCGAAGATGGCCGCCATCCTGCAGGAGAGGAAGGAGAAGAAGGAGGCCAAGAAGAAGGCCCTGCAGGAGGAGCAGGCGGCAAAGTTGAGAAAGATAGAGGAGGAGATGGATAGGGAGAAGGAAAGATTGAAAAAGGAAGAAGAGCAGAAGCTGAAGGAGGTGGAAGAAGAAGAGGAGGAAGATGATCAGCCACTGGAGAGGAGAAGAGAACAGCGAGGGCAGTACAGCGGCAGCAAAGATGATGAGATGGAGAAGCGGATCTGAGAGTGGGTCACCAACTTGTCCCTGGGAGAAGAAGAAGAGGTAGCCATGTATATCCCCAAGGACGAGCAGGAAGCCGCTATGAAGGAGTGGGAAGCAAAAAGGGATGTTGTGAGGCGGCATGCAATGGAGGATGAAAAAAGGATGGAGTGGAAGTTGAGAGTGATGAGGGAAAAGAAGAGGAAAGTGGACGCGGCGATTGACGCGGTTAAGGACCTAGGGGAGATGCAGCAACTAACCCTGAAGTTGACCCCTCAGGTAGACCTTGAGAAAAAGGTAGAACTTGCCCAGACTGTCGAGCGCTTAGCCCGGATACAAGAACAACAGTACGATTTTAGTCGAAGTCAGGACATGGCTGTGCGCTCCATACGAATGGGGTTCCGGGACTTTGCTCGCGAATTGGTAGGTGCGATAGGATCCGAGGTGAATCATCGCCTCGAGAAGACTGAACGATTTTGCGCTGGCGCCATTGAGGGCGTCAAGGCGGCAGCTCCCAAGGAGGAGGAACCACGCCCGCCGCGTAGAGAGCTAGTCAAGGTCAAATTCCCTGATTCCTACAGTGGGAAGAGGGAAGAGAACTTTGATAACTGGGAGGCCAACGTTAAGACCTACGTGCATTTGCAACAGGTCTCCCCGGATCAGCAAGTTCTAATTGCGATCCACGCACTTAGAGATGAGGCCGCCAGTTTCGCAAGATCCCTTGTTCGCGCTGCCAATTGCAGTGATGATCCCGTTGCCTATTCAGCATTTACTTCCCTCACTGAGTTCATGAGATTGCTGCGCGAGCGATTTGCAGATGTCGCTCGAAGTGTCAAGGCCTCAGATAGGCTCCAGACAATCCA